TGCTGACATTCAACTTTGATTTTTATGAATAAGTCTTGTTTTCTGTGTGCAGCTGGAAGGCATAGTTAGTATATAGGAAGTGCTGAAGACTTTTATCAGATTTTTGAAATGAAGGAATTCAAATATGGGAAATAATGCTGTTTATTATCTGTAATATAGCTCCTTTGCAAAGAATGAAAGCAATATACTTTCTAAAGCTGTGTGTGTGTGTGTGTGTGTGTGTGTGTGTGTGTGTGTGTGTGCAGTCAGCATATTTTGGTCTTCTGAATAAGGTGAAATAATTAAATTGAAATTTCTCTTTCCACTTACTGTATTGTGAGACCTGAGTATTCTCTGTCCCGTGTTGCTTGTGTGGCTCGAGTGACCCACCAGCTTTCCTGGATCTTCATTGTCAATGTGTATGTACCCTGCCTTCTGTTCCCAGGCTGGCTCTACACCTTGTGCTCCTGGCTTCTGCCCTCTTGGTCACTGGTATAACACCCAGGAAGTCTGTTGAGTGATTTTTTTTTTCTTGATAACCTGCAGCCTTTGTTTTCTGTACCATATTTTTGGGAATTTCATTTATCGTTTATCAGGTATTTGTTAAGCATGTGTAGTGAGTCAGACATTGTTGTAGATATTGAAGATGCTGAACTTTTTTTGTCCAGTTTCATAAGTTTGTATTGTTTTCCAAGGGTTTTTTCAAATATATGTAGGTAATAATATTTATTATACTTTTCTTAGTTATTTCTAGGCACAGAACTACTTAGGAAGGTGCTTGGTAACTATTCCATTCCCTCATTTTTACCACAGTATGTCTTATCTCAGGTAAAAGGTAAAGCTCACAACAAATACCCTTCAAATAATAGCATTTGTTTTGTTACCATTTAGAGTCTGTATCTGGTAGCGGATCTAGTATGTTTCCAAATCAGAGAAACGTGCACAAAGCTAACTCTGCAGGCTTCAGGTCCTTGTCTTCTGCAGGGACACCTTCAGGGCTGTATGAGGACCAAATGAAATGTGGGATTTAAAATCACCTCAAACATAGTAGATACTTCATAGACTCAGCATGAGGTAGGTAGGAAGTGATCAAGGAATTCTTCTCAAAGGCAAGATAGCATCTGTGTCCCCATATCACTGCATTAAGTACATTGTATAAAATGAAGGAACAAAGAAATGGATTTTTAAATTTAGTGTAAAAAGAGTACATTTATCACAGTTATTCTTTTTTCTTTTCTTTTTTTTGTTTTTTGTTTTTTTGTTTTGTTTCTTTGAGAGACAGAGCGAGCGAGCATGGGAGCAGGGGAGGGGCAGAGGGAGAAGGACAGAGAGAGTCTTAAACAAGCTTCCCACCCAGCACAGAGCCTGACGCAGGGCTCTGTCTCACAAGCTTGAGATCAGGTCATGAACGACAGTTAGAGTCAGACGCTCAACCGAGTGAGCCACCCAGGTGCCCCTTCTTTTTTCTTTTCACATTCACCTCCACTGTCTCCTCTCTTCTCCTCTCCCCCCCGTTACCTCCTAGTAACTTACTTAAATGCCCTTTGTGTCGTTTTTGACATTTCAGAGTATGTTGGCACGGTGCCCTGATACTCTAGTTGAAAATATTTTGTAAAAACAGCTTTTTAAAAGGAAAATTTGGCAATTTTATTCTGTGGTCTTCTTATTAATCAGACAGTCTTTTAACTTTTATTTAGAAAAAAACATATCGCTTATCTCTAATTTTATAAGAATTTGAATTTGATTCAGACTCCGCAGTTAGACACCTGCATCAGAGTGGCTCTTGGTCTGTCAATACAAGTAGATCTTGCTCTGAACTCTCTCTTCTGAGTGATGCTACTGAGCCACCCAGTCCCAGATTGTGCAGCTGAGGATGGAGGTCATGGACAGGGCAGAAGGATGGACAGAGCTGGCCCTGCTTGGACTCAGGTCGTGGAACAAACAGTCAGAATTCTTCTCATGCAGTACACCTTTCCCAAGTAGTATAGCTCAGTGAGATGGTTAGAGGAACTGCCATGGCTTTAAGTACCTGTTTTAGATTTCCATATGTTGTGCTATTTAAGCCAGATGATTTTTTTTTTAATTTTTTTTTAATGCTTGTTTATTTTTGAGAGAGAGAGAGAGAGAGAGAGAGAGAGAGAGAGAGAGAGAGAGGGAGAGAGACAGTGTGAGCATAAGTGGGGGAGAGGCAGAGAGAAAGGGAGACACAGAATCTGAAGCAGGCTCCACGCCCTGAGCTGTAAGCACAGAACCCGACTCAGGCGCAAACCCACAACTGTGAGATCATGACCTGAGCCGAAGTCGGATGCTTAACCGACTGAGCCACCCAGGTCAGATGATTTTTTAAATACCTTGTTCATTTCCAAAATTCTGTCAGACAATTTAGAAAACTCTTTTTCTCCTACTGTCCCCTTTTTAAAAAAATTCTTCAGTTGATGAACTGCACTATGTAGAGCTCTCTAAATACTCATGAAGAAAATAGGTGAAGCTCTTTCTAAGCAACAAGATGAATTAGTTTTAAAAATAAGAATGTGAGGGGCGCCTGGGTGGCGCAGTCGGTTAAGTGTCCGACTTCAGCCAGGTCACGATCTTGAGGTCCGTGGGTTCGAGCCCCGTGTCAGGCTCTGGGCTGATGGCTCAGAGCCTGGAGCCTGTTTCCGATTCTGTGTCTCCCTCTCTCTCTGCCCCTCCCCCGTTCATGCTCTGTCTCTCTCTGTCCCAAAAATAAATAAACGTTAAAAAAATATATTAAAAAACAAAAAAATAAGAATGTGGCCTTATTTTGAGAAAGGAAGTATGTTTACCGGTTTGTTGACTTAAAAAATAGTACAGACTGCCAAAAAATACAGATTAAACTTCCAAGAGATAGGTTGGGATTATAGGTTGGGTTTCTCTAGTTTACTTTTACGTAAAAGGAATTATTGTTGTCTCTGCGATAACTGTTATCATGTTTGCTCAGTAAATAGTTGAATTAAAACAGTATGGCTTTTTTTTTTCCTATATAGATTTGGTGTTAGTCTCAGATTAATACCAAGAAGTAGTAGTGTTAAATTGCTGGGAAATGAAGATGAAGACATTATGTTCTTTATATGCAGCTGGATAGACTTTGTCGAGTTCCTGCAATGCTCATGAGAATTCATAAAAAGGACAATTCTTCCTTTTATTGGCTGCTCATCAAAACTGCTGTCCCACTGATAGAAAGGAATACTTTATGTCTTCAATTGCAGATTATTTTTAAATATAAAAGATAAAATGGTGAATATTAATGTACTTTATATGATTTTTCTATAGATATAAAACAGAATGCTTTACAGTTTTGCCTCTAGATCAATAGCTTTGAACCAGTCACTTCACTTTAATTGGTAATTCCCACTAATATATAAAATTGTGTTAAAAGGACAAATATATATATATATATATATATATATATATATATATATATATATATGTTTATTTATTTTTGAGAGAGAGAGAGAGAGCACAAGCAGGGGAGGGACAGAGAGGGAGACACAGAATCTGAAACAGGCTCCAGGCACTGAGCTGTCAGCACAGAACCTAACGCGGGGCTCAAACTCAAAAATTGTGAGATCATGACCTGAGCCGAAGTCAGACGCTCAACCGACTGAGCCACCCAGGTACCCCACCACAAACTATATTTTAAAATGGGAGTTGCGTGATTAAGTAAGCAATGAAGTAGAATAAATCATGACTTCCATTTTTTGCATATTGGGAGATTGACATGTCCTATGTGTGAATAGTTTGTATTTGTGAAAGAAATCTTTATATTTCAGAGAGAAGTTAGAGATTTTATTTGGAAGTCTGCAAACATGAAAACATAAAATCAAATAAAATAATGTAAATCTGTCTTCAGTGACTTTGAGGATTTTGTTGTTGTTGTTTAATACATTTTTTAATGTCTGTTTATTTTTGAGAGAGAGAGCGCAAGCGGGGAAGGGGCAGAGAGAGAAGGAGACACAGAATCCGAAGCAGGCTCCAGGCTCCGAGCTGTCAGCACAGAGCCCGACGCGGGGCTTGAACTTAATGAGCGGTGGTGATATCATGACCTGAACCACAGTCAGAAGCTTAACCATCTGAGTCACCCAGGTGCCCCTGACTGTGGTGTTTTTAAACTTTATACATTTATAGCTAGGAAAGTACATTTGTATGTATTTTTCAAGTGTTATTGCCCTTTTAATACTTGTTGCAGATATTTTCTACAATTTCTTTTGTCTTTTAAATTTAGGACATTTTGACATATAAAGTGTACATTTTAATGTGATCATACTAGTAATCTTTTCCTTTGTAGCTTTCTCCATTTATCCTAGAAAGTCTTTTTCCAGTCTAAGGCCTGTTAAATACACTCCTGTATTCTTTTTTAATTCTTAAAAATGGTTTCATTGGGACACCTGGGTGGCTCAGTTAAGCATCCAACTCTTGATTTCGATTCAGGTCATGATCTCATGGTCATGAAATCGAGCCCCACGTCAGGCTCCACACAGTGTGAAGCCTGCTTGGGATTTTCTGTCTCCTTCTGTCTCTGCCCTGCCTCCAACTTGTGCCCTCTCTCTCTCTCTCTCTCTCTCTTTCTCTCTCTCTCTCAAGAAATAAACATTTTTTAAACAATTGTTTCATTATTTTATATTCTCCTCTGTTGCAGATATTGCTAACCGAGTCTTTGGTTGGACTCCAGAGAATCTGAGAACTCCTTAAAATTCTATATACAATGATATATGTACATTTTTCTCTGTAACATTCCGTAATTCTTATTACATTCTCAGCGGGGTCAGTCACAAAGCCCATATTCCTCCCTTTTCCAAAAAATTGTTAAGAGCTACTATAACAATCCATTTGAACATTTTTTGGATCTAAGGTGATACGTGATGCTAAGGTAATTTTTGTCCCTTTTCCAAAATAGTTTAAGTATCCCAGACAGTTTATTGAATAATTCTCTTCAAAGATTTGTGATGCCTTTGAAAATAAATTCACTTTTAATTAATCTAATAATCTTTTTATCTCCACAGAGAAAGTTAGAGAAATTCAAGAAAAACTTGATGCTTTTATTGAAGCTCTTCATCAGGAGAAATAAATGGTAATAAGTTAGTAAGAGCCTTCTTACTGCATTCATACTGACTAAATGCAAAATATATACTTTTTAACTTATTATAGTTTGTCATTGTACATGACTATATCCTGCTTGTTCCTGAATAATAATTTTAATGTAATTAAATAATTTTAAAGGCAGGAATCTCTGAAATTAGTTCTAAATTTCATATGTACAATGTTCCTCTTGAATACTTGATTGCCTTCTGGGTGAACTAAAAATATCCTCTAGAACTCATTTTGAACAGAGGAAAAGTAAACAAAGCTAAGATATTTCATAATATGCATGTGGCTCATAAGTTTTGTGCATGTAAATAATCAAACTGTAGCCTTCATTATTTTATTTCTCATTGTTCATATTCAGTGGACAATGATGTGTATGTTAACTTGCAAAACATTTTATTTGGCTTGACTAATAATAATTGTTCTTGATTTTATTCTCTTATGTTTAAAACCATTTCTCCTGTTTAAAGTAACTCAGATAGCCTTAGAATGGACTACTCTTCTGAATGTGTGGACTCTTATCTAATTCTGTAGTCTGGCATTGTAAGCATGTTCCAAATAAAGTATTGTATCATTAAATACAGATTTCCCGTAGTAGCATAGTAAACTGCTAATTACTGCTGAAGAATTATAATTAGTAAGTCTTTTGCTTTTATTGAAGAAGTTGAGAAAGGGAAGGTGCTCTAATTAAGACATTATCATTTCTTTAAGATATTTAATTAGTCACTTTATCTGTGAGCCTTTCCCTGTAGGCAGCCTGCAACACAGTCAGAACTGGAAGGAGTATTAAAGTAAAACATTCCCTCCCTAGCTGCATTCATTTCAGAAAAGGCCCTGTGACCAAACTACATGTTTTCCTCTAAGGGAGGCACAGTACATTTGAGAAAGCAAGCCAGAAAAGGAAGTGCAGCTCAGACCACTATCCCTCAGAACAGCATACCAGCAATAAGTGAGAGAGGAAGAAGTTAGAAAGCTTTCCAGTAATGTTTTATTACTTGGTTTTGTCTCTCTCCCCTAAGTTAAGACAGATGTATACATGGATGTACACAAAAATGTATCCAGAGAGTAAATATCAACCATCTTTGACACAGTCCAAAAAGAATTCATTGTTTTCAAGTATCTGTGTTCATAAATGTTTTATACAACTTCAGTGTATGAAAATTTCCTTTTAAAACCATAAAGTTGTTATGATACCTTCCTCCTTGTCATAATTACTATCAGTAATTCATGTTAGAAATAAACATTTTGAGAGCCTTCTTGATTTGGAGATTCTCCTCTTCAGCACCAAAGTTCACTTGATATTTCTGTTTGTAAAGGTGGTTTGGGGGGGAAGAAGATTCATGAAAATCACAGAAACCCCATTAAAAATATAAGCTTCATTTCTCTCTTTAATGAAATGAAGAAGCCTAAAGGCAGCCAGTGTTTTACATAATAGTGTCACTACCCTGAACTGGTTAGTGTGACATCTAGTGTTACTGTTGCTATTGGGAACATGCCTTTTCCTGCCAGAGAGTCTGTCTCAAGTGGAGGCCAGGGTAGTCGGAAGAGCTAAGTTGTGATAATCTGTGTCTATGAGGAAACCATCCCAGTTTTCTTTGTTCTTTACTTGTCTTTAGTCTCTACAGCCCTTCCTAGCCCTTGGGTTTTATAACCCTGTGAACTATTTGAATATTGGAAAGATCAACTATTTTGTACCCTGAAAATCCATTTAAAAGAATCAATGTGGCAAAATTGTAGCCTTCCTTGCTTCATTCTGACCATTTTATAAAGTTACCAGTCACTTTAAAGAATAGTTTTTGTGTGTGTGTGTGTGTTTTAAGTTCATTTATTTATTTTGATAGAGAGCGAGAGCAAGGGAAGGGCAGAGAGAGAGGGAAAGAGAGAATCCCAAGCAGGCTCTGCAGTGTCAGCACAGAGCCCAATGCAGGGCTCAAACTCACTAACTCTGAGATTGTGACCTGAGTCAAAACCAAGAGTTGGACTGAGCCACCCAGGGGCCCCTGAGGAATAGTTTCTTAATGATAGTTTTAACATGTGTTGAGTTCTTCAACCTGATAATTTTAAGTAATTCATTCTGATAATTGCTGAAGATATTTATACCCAGCACAGCCAAACACAGATTCCTTCTACCAATTTTAATATGTTTTTAAATTTTTTCTGTAAAAAACTAATGACAGTATTTTTTAATTCACACACGTTTAATAAAATTGTCACATTGTTATAGCAGGTGATATTTTAAATTTCATAAAACTAGCGAACAGGCAGTTAAGCTTCAGTATTTTTTTATGATCATGCAGTAATAAAGTTTATTTAGAAATTTTGCATTTGTCTCCCCATACCTTAATTTATCAAATGTGTTTATTTTTACAGAATCCTACTCATAATATAATCACCTCCGCATACATGTGAAGAAAGAAAACTCCAAAGTCTTTTGTCCTGCCTTTTTTCCTTCTGCTATTCCACCTTTCTAAACATGAAATAAAGTCATGGGGTAAAACTACTTAATGCGAATCAGAGGCACTTTGACCATCAGTTGCCTTTTGAATGCACGAAGAGTGGAAATGGCATTAAAATCCTATCTTATTGTATTGAAGTGACACATTGAGATAATACAAGTGGTGTGGCCGTTAGGTTGAGCCCTTGACGATAAGAAACTTGCTGTCCTGCTTGTGTCATTTGTGGTGGCACTATTTGTGGTGGCACTCGTTCACCTAATTCATTAGCCGGTGCTGCTCAGAGTCCGTTTCTTCTCTGGGTAAAAAATGCCAGGTGTTGTGAAAAGCTATCAATTGTATATAAAGTGATGGTAACCCGCTAACTTGTTGTCTGTATCTGTAAATGTTCTTCATCCAGAAACTATCTGATTATGAAAATTCAGTCTACATTTATCATGTGAAAGAGAACGTAAACAGAAGAACCCCTCAAATAGGTTAATTTGGATTGCAACAATTCTGTGTGCATTCAGTGGAAGAGAGCTCAGCCTTCCCTGACAGCTTAGAGAGCTGCCTGGGAAGCTAACTCAGCAGCAGCTTACCTGTTTGCTTCAATGGATGTTTTTGTACTTTCTGTCTCCATTTGAAGTTCATTCATTTTGGATGTGGTATAGGTGAGCAAGGTTTTCGGTTAACTTTGCGGGGGGTGGGGGTTACCTGTTGACAGAGCTGTTGGATTGAGACACAGGATAGGGAAGATAAAGAATAATCAGTTGACTAGTTTTATTAGACTGTCAAGCAGTTCAGGGAGGCAGCAGGAAAAGGCTCTTTCATAAGAGTGCATTATTTCAACAGCATGTTAACCATCTCCCTCTTAGCTGAACTTTTAAAGAGAAACATAAAATTGGATTCATTGCAGTTCAGTTACAATACCTTCACAGCATTTTTGTGTGTGTCATAAATACTTTTTTATTGGCTAAAGGACTTTAAAGCAAAGAAGTATACCATTTTTGACTTCAAATGTCTTTCTCATTTATCTCTGCTCTTTGCTTCCATTTTGTTAAGCCTTTAGTATTCTAATAAAAATGCCCATTGTGTGACAGTTTTTTACAGTTTTTTGGAGGTTGGTTTTTTTTTTTTTTTTAATTCTGTTTTGGTAACAGTTCCCTTGCTACCCTACCTTTTTTTTTTTTTTTGATTTAGCATCCATAGCATTGTGATTTCTCTTGAGATCTGATGACACTTAATATATAAGGTTGGAAGGGTAGCGCAAAATATTTCAGAAATCAAGAGTTCAGTATATATTTGTTTTATACTGTTTGATAAGATATGTAGATCCAGGTAGCAGTGTATATTGTTATTTGGTGGATGAGGAGTCTAGAACATTTCATGTGTCTTTCAGCTCTAGGGCTAGTAGGGGAACAGCAAGGGAGTACCCTCCTGTGCCCCCCGCCCCGGGTGTTATGTGCTGAATGTAGAGGTGACCTCACTGGTAAACTCTCTCTAACCAGTGCTGCTTGCTGGTAACCCCTCATTGAAGCAGACACCATGTAATTATTGTTTTTGTAGTTGTAAATCATAACCACTTTACAACTACAAATCTATTTCCAAAGAAATAGGACCGTGTTTATTTGTATGTGCTATGGATGGGGAAAAAATGCCCTCAGCTATAATGTGTAGATTTTTTCTAAGCTAAAGGCCGATGTTCAGTGAGACCTTTTATCACATCCCTTTGTATAAATTTAAGAAACGGGGATGGAGAATCTTCATTTCTCTGAGATCAGTATCTGTAATTTAAACATATAAATAGATGATTAAAAACCCCAAATAAGAGTCCAGACCTCCCACATCCCCCACAGTACATGTAGATGTTACATGACTTCTTTCTTTCGTGGACTACATACTTTTTTTTTTTTTCCTTTTTAGCCTATCTCATTCTAAGCATGCCTTTTTTTTTTTTTTCTTGAAAGCTAGGTTGATGCAGATGTTATTAAGAGAAAAAATAAAATTCGGATTCTCAACAGTAAACCCTGTGTGTTGTGTCTGTAGTTCAAAAATTACAAATGATTCAAATTTAAACAGATCGCTTCAGAAATTCAATGTACAGGAGTTAAATTCTAACTAGACCAGGAATCCTTTGTTTTTCAGGTCAGAATTTGCAAAGAGTAGCGTGAACAAAGCTCTGTATGGGAGACTGAGCAACTGTAAATAAATTAGATCTAAAATTTAGTCAGGGTATCAGTTTTAAGAATCCGTACTCCTAGGCAGTGCACAGTGGGAAACAAGTGGTCCTCGCTGCTTCAAGTTGAATCAGCTGAGCTATGGCCACAGGTGGAGCAATCAGCCTTTCTTAGTAGCTTAATTACATTCTCTCCTCTTTGCATTATTCTCCCTTTTCAGGCTTTACTCCAGTGGACTCCTTCCCACAAATAATGTAGCCCCAAGTACAAATGAATAGCGTAAAAATGAGGAGGGAACATTGCAGAGAGCAGTGCTTCCTAACCTTATAATTTGGGAGTTTTACATGTGATGAAGAGCGAGCGTAGGCTTAAAAGACAAATTCCTTAGCTAGTTTATAATCTTATATTTATTTTAGATGTATCTATTTGCAAAAAGAAGGACGACATTTTAGTTTTCCAGTAAGAGGGATCAGAATGATGCTTTTTATCTCTGTGCTTTTTATCTTTTGTTGGCTGTAGTTTTAGGTTCTTTAGCAATATAGAGATGTGCTTGCAGATATACTCACTTTTGGATGATCGTGGCTATGTGTTCAAACATTTAAAACATAACCTTGTTTTTACTTGTTCACTGTGAATGAACTCTGTATTTTTTAAAACCTTCACACTACATGTGGATGTTACTGCGGTTTCTGTTTTGCCTGTGCTTTTAATCTAAGGTCATTTGTGTAGATTAGTAATTAAAGTAATTTAAATCATGTTCTAATTCTATATTGGAGAGCACCTTCTACGTTTTCTCTGTATTAACGAAGGGCTGAGAGAGAGTGAGACCTTTGCAGTATAACCAAAGTCATGGTCTGATAAGCCTCTTAATGTGGCTCTTCTCTGAATACTTACATTTCACATGCTTCACATTTCACAGCTGTAATCCATGGTCAAACAAATGCCTTTTTTTTTTTTTTTCGTATCTTGATACTTGTCAAACATTTTGGTATTTTTCTTTGATAAAATTCATTAAAAATGTCTTTTAAGTGGATTTTGCTGCCACAGCCGTCATCATTCGTACAGGAGGCTTACTAAAACGTCATGCCTAAGTCTTAAAAGGGAAGGCAGCTTAAGGTTCTTCCATCTATCACCTTTTTATGAACACCCATTTCTCATTTTTGTTTTCTTCCCAGAACTTTGCTCGTAAAGGATGCTTATTAAATACTTGTTGATCACTTGGTATGTAAAATAAGTCAGAGTGTAGGTGTACCTTCTCCAAGATTTCTATGGCTGGCCGAAGTCAAAACTAGGGAAAGACTCAAAGTCATGATTGCTTCAATAAGTAAGTACATGGTGGCTGGAGTATGGTTTATTTCTGGTGAATAAATGTCAAGAGACTCTCAATTCCTTTGGACGGTTTTATAGAGAAGAACACATTTGAATCATGTTAGCATGTATTTTACTCACCACTGTTAACAGATCAGTCTTAGGATGAGGTGCAAAAAGTAGTTCGCATTAATTTTTTACCCTTTGTACATTTCAAGTTCAAAATCTTCATGTGTCAAAAAAGCTTGAAGAATTTAATAATTTGGTTTCTTTTCATGCTTCCAGTTGAAGCATTAGTAACTTTTTAAAAATCATTACTTTTTTTAGTTGAAGTGCAGTTGCCATGTGATGTTAGTTTCAGGTGTGTGAAGAATTCTCTTTATCCAAGTCAAGTAGCGGTCATGCGCTTGTAAATAATACAGATGTATTGTTTAACCGTATTACAAAATATATTTTAAAATAATCAAGCATACCCAATTTGTGATAACTAAAATGGTCACTTCCTGCCCATATTAAACTAAGCAGATAGATGTGGAAAAGATGAGTGCAACAAAAATTGTCAAAGATTAAAAAGCAGAACAGTATCGGGGCACCCGGGTGGCTCAGTCAGTTAAGCGTCTGACTCGGTTTTGGTGCAGGTCATGATCCAACTGTTTCGTGAGTTCAAGCCCCATGTGAGGCCCTGCACTCACCGTATAGAGCCTGCTTGGGATTCTCCTTCTCTCCCTCTCTGTCTCTACTCCTTTCCTGCTCACATTGTCTCTGTCTCTCTCAAAATAAACAAACATAAAGAAAGCAGTATCGGGAAAGTTGAAATGTGAGTGATCTTTACCCTGAAAAAGATAGTTTTATGAAGTAAGGGTAAGGAAAATGTACATTATAAAGCACTGGATTAAATACACATCTTGAAATGATAGAGTTGAGTTACTACGAGCTTGAAAATTGAGAGCGAGTACAGGAGCACTCCCTGAGATTCTTGAGTTGGTGTTCACGTTCTGTAGGACCAGTGCTGAGGTTCTTTGGGGGTTCAAGTCACTGAGGAAGAAATAACTTTTAAATGTTTTTAAATCCATTGTCCCTTCTTTTTCGTAAAGAATTCTTAACCTGTTTTGTTTTTAATTAGTCTAGGTGTTAGCCTGGATCCTATCTAGGTATTTGAGAAAATTCAAAAATCTAGGGGGTTTTGTTTGTTTCTCAAAGTTTTTCGAGAGCGTGAAAGTGAGGGAGAAGGGCAGAGAGGGAGAGAGAGTCTTAAGCAGGCTCCACACTCAGTACGGAGCCTGATGTGGGGCTCGATTCCATGACCCTGGGATCGTGACCTGAGCTGATATCAAGAGTTGGATGCTCAACTGACTCAGCCACCCCCAAAACCTGTGTTGTAAAAACCTGTAAGCGTGAGGCCCCACTGTAGACCCAATCATCATTCCTTGACACTGTCAGCTGCCTCCCACAGAGGGGTATCTAATGGCTGGGTTACGAATACAGTTCGCACTACTTAATGTTTGAAGCAGCATATCTGTTCTGCAGCTTACTTTTGGAGTGACGGAATCGCATAGCAACAGCCTGGAAATTAGAATTTTATCCACTTGTCAGAAAATAAAATCATGGTTTACATGATCTAGCAGCGCTTGCCAGCTCATGAGACCTCTAACACTGGTGAGACAGTAGGTAGAGAATAGGCTGACTCCACCTCCTTGCTTTCCTCAAGTTTTTCTGAGGATTGGCCAAATCATCAAGAAGCAAGACTGCCTGGATTACTGACACTCACCTACCTCTTAATTTCTCTAATATGCCCTTGGCTTTCACAAATGCTATGTGATGTACCCACTTGCAGAAAACACACAGCGTCTTTTGCAGAAGTAAAACCTAAGGACGTGTCTCTGTTATCGTTTAACTTC